GCCCCCACAGTCTGGGTCCTCATTTCACCCACCTCAGAAGGATGGAAGACTGAGTCAACCCTGAGCCGGTGAGATTTGAACCACTGAACTGTAGATAACAGTCAGCTGAAGTGGCCTGCAGTACTGCACCCTAACCACTGCGCCACCTCGGCTCCAAGGTTGGAGACCACTGGTTTACAGAGTCAGTATATTTTCCCCAACGATGTGTGTCCTCATTTTACTGACTTTGGAAGGATGGAAGGCTGAGTCAACCTTGAGCCAGTTGGAATCGAACTCCAGGCTGTAGACAGTCTGCAATACTGCATTCTAACTACTGTGCCACCACAACTCCTAATTACTCCTCATCTGCTTTCAGAGCCCTACCCCTTTTCGCCTGCATCAAAGAAAGGGTACAGTGGTGGGATTCAAATAACAGCCGGTTCTCTGCCCTAAGGATTTCTCCCAACAACCAGTTCACCAAACTGCTCAGAAAGTTAACAACTGGTTCTCCCAAAGTGGCTGAATTCCACCACTGGAAAGGGACCATCTTTGAGCATACAGCTGTGGCTTCCATCTTGGTTTGTTTTGTTTTTAAACACCCACAGATACCCCTTATTTCCTCACTATCTCACTGTATTTTATGGCAGCTATTATTTTCAACTCTTCCAAACACTTGACTTAATTCACTCAATGTCGTCTTAATTAAAGCACCTGACCAACTGGATCACATAGCCATCTTTCTACAATAATGATTATTTTTTCTAGTTTTCTTTCTCCTCTTTTCCGTAGTTCGAATTAAGCGGGGTTTCTGTAAAATTGATGCAAATCATTTCTATGCAGATTTTGCTGCAAGATTGATTTTTAAAAAGTAACGCAGATTTTACCTCTTAGTTTTTTCTCTATTGTGGTCTTTATCCATTCTGTTGGTTTCTCACCATAGTCATTATGGCATCTGCTTGTTTTATCTGCATTGTGTCCCAAAATAGCATCCAACTCTCTGAAAAACTTCATAGTTTTGCTTGCGTTGCCTGAATATTGGGCATCTTTAACACTCTTATATTCATGCTTTAGATTTTTATATTTTGTTCTGCATTGCTTCCAGTCTCGGTCAATTCCAAATTTTTGTAGTCTAGCAGCAACGTGTTCAAATATCCTTTTGTTTCTCACTGTTCCTTCCAGTTGTTGCTGAATGCTCTTTTCCGACCAGACCCGTATTAGAGCTCTAACTTCATTAACAGTCCAATGCTTTCCTCCTTCGTTTGCTACAGAAGGAATGAAGGGGAGATTTTTGGAAGCATCTAATACTGTGGTTGGATTACCTGCATCAGGTAGGACAGGAGAAAGACACAGATATGTATTACCTGCATTGGGTAGGGTGGAGGGGGTCAGGATCAGGTAGAGATAGCAAGAAAGAGAATGCGTGGTTAACTATTTTTCTTCTCCAGGAACAAAATAAAACTCAAAATGGATAGTATCAGTAAAATACAAAATTGTTTTTATACCTTCTCTTGTAAAGTTAATATGTCAGGCACCAATTTGGGGTGGGGGGGAATATATATATATATATATATATATATATATATATATATATATATATA